ATTACGCTAAGTCCATGTTAACAGTTAGCCTTGCCATTCATCCATTGATAAGAAAGCCACATCTTCAAAAAGTAAATTTCTCCAGATCTAAATGATAGAGTCTAAGTGATTAGATGGAGGATCCTTATTGAGCTGCCTACAAGTCAGTTTTGTTAGAGATGCAGTATTAGATTCATAGGTAATTTGCATTTCAGACTCGTTTCTTCCAGACACAGTGCTCAAGCAGAGCATGACAGCCATTGCACAAAAGGTAAAGCCGATGGGCAATTATTAACATCTGAACAATAAAAAGGGGATCCATTTTGCAATCTAAAATCAATATTCCAAAGCCTGAGTAATATATTGATCCTTTTGGAAATAAAAATGAAATCTGAGTGGCCTGCAGTTTATTGAAAAATACCTACTGGAATCTTCCTGTTTCTAAGGTACACGTTAGGTTTTTCTTTAACATTCAAAATGCAAAATAAACTAGTCCTGGACATTATAAACCTAAAGGAACCAAAGTTAATGACAGGAAACTTAATTGTTCACCGTGTATATTTTTAATGTATATTATACTGGTGATTGCAGCATTGATTCTTTGGTTTCTTAAGTAGTTTTCTTGATAGAGTATTCACACATCATACACCTACATGGTTAAATCACTTTTAAAATCAATTATATATACATACTTGCAATCAGTTCCCTCTCCCCTGCCACATTCATTGTTTGCTCCCCAAAGCCCCTCACCCTCCCATGTGCATTGATCCTTTGAACTCAACTCACTTCCACCGCTTAGACCACAATTTGTTCTGTTCTACACAGTATAAAATATTAAATATGACTAATTTGGCTTTTAGATGAGTGTTAGCCCTTTTGTGACCTGTGTGGGATACAGAGTGCCCACCTGTATGTTGTATCTCAGGTTTAGTGGGAAGCTCTTGTCCCACTTTTAGTTTGTGCTGCCATCTCGTTGGAACCTATATACCAAAACATATCTGAAAAAAACTGGGCCTTATCTCACCAATCCAAGGAACCAGAGACCCCTTGTGATATATGTGTGCCATTATAGCAAAGTTCATTTTACCAATGCTGCTTTTCCGTCAAAATTTCTTCTACTACTGAAAACATAGTTTCAACTGCTGCAAATAATTTGGTCTTGAAAGGGTTAAACGTGTCTCAACAATTACAGTAGTGAGAAACCAGTTGCCTGGGGGTTGGTTCCAACTCACAGTGACCCTATGTGACAGACTAGAGGTGCCTCAAAGGGTTTTCAAAGCTGTAATCGTGGTTGCAAATCACCTTGTCTTTCTCCATCAGAGCAGCTGATGGGTTTGCAGTACTGGTAGTTCTTTAGTAGCAGAATGCTTTAACCTTTGTGCCACCAGGGCTTCTACTTGCTGCTAAGGCATTTGTAAGCAAAAATTGCAAAGTAAATGGGGGAATTGCAAAGCTGTTGTTGGCTGCAGTTCAGTAAACATGCAGACTCTGTAGGTAGATTGCTTCAGTTTGTCTCCTGTCTCCACTATCTAGTTGTGTTCACGTCCTGTTGGGGAAATTATCCTTAATCTCGGTCTGTCTGTGCACTTCATGTACCCTCTAACAGGACAATTTTGTGAGGAGGCAATGAGGTGAAACACTGCAAAGTGCGACTGTACATATACTTTGAATGGTAAATTCAGTTGAATTAGAAAGTGTGTTTGCAGGTGATTAATGTGTAAGCACAGAGTTGAGAAGTGGCTACAGAGCATTTTCAGATTCCGGAGATGATAGACTTTTGAAACGATCCATGTCTCTAGAGTCTCTAGAGCTGGGGTTAGCAAGCGATGGCTCACTGTCACCTGACTTTGTAAATCACATCTTGCCATACACCATGCCTGTGGTTTCACAGATACAGTGGCAGAGTTGACTACAGAGACAGAATGGCCTGCTTAAACCAGAAAAACAAAACAAAGCAAACTCATTGATGGTAAATTGATACTGACTCCTAGTGACCGTACAAAATAGAGTAGGCTCTATTTGCTCCACAGGATTCCCAAGGCTGCGATCTACAGAAGCCGACAGCTTGCTTCACTTAAAATAGGTACTGCTTGGCCCTTTACACAAATGTGTGCCTACCCTTTTATTGACTCTCAAACCACACTTGCTGCCAAGTCATAGTGACCGTATAGGCCGGGTTAGATCTGCCCTTGTGGGTTTCTAAGACTGTAACTCTTTACAGGAGTGGAGAAAGCCCCATCTTTCTCCCTTGGACCAGCTAGTGATTTCAGACTTTGGACCTTGTGATTAACAGCTTTACATGTAAATACTCCTGCAGTTGCCTCTAGAAACCATGTAAGGCCTCTATAGGACTTCTGAAAATATTTTGATCCCTAGGTGTATCTAAAAGACGTTTTGATGGTCCATGGCTTTCATATGAAAGATATATATGAATCACTCTTGAAGTTTGAGAAATAAAACTAATTGCCTGTATGGCTAGACCAGAGGATGTACAGATAGGAACTGGAAACACAGGGAATCCAGGGCAGATGATCCCTTCAGCACCAGTGGTATGAGTGGCAATACTGGGAGAGTGGAGGGAAGGTGGGTTGGAAAAGGGGAACCGATTATGAGGATCTCTTGTGATCTCCTCCCTGAGGGATGGACAACAGAAAAGTGGGTAAAGGGAGATGTTGGATAGGGCAAGACATGACAAAATAATAATTTATAAATTATCAAGGGTTCATGAGGGAAGGGGCAGCAGGGAGGGAGGGGAAAATGAGGAGTTGATGCCAGGGGCTTAGGTGGAGAGCAAATGTTTTGAGAATGATGAGGGCAATGTATATACAAATGTGCTTTACACAATTGATGTATGTATGGATTGTGATAAGAGGTGTATGAGCTCCTAATAAAATGATTTTTAAAAAAAGAAACGACCTCAAAAAAAGCAAATAAACAAACAATTGCTTGGACCCCATATCATGCCGGCTGACTTTGTAGAATCTGTGGAAGCTGGGTTTGGTAAAGGGCAGTATAATTTAGAAAATTTCACCAAAGGATACTAATGAATGCTCTGGATAAAAGTGGAGAATCTCCACACTGGCAATATACTTCAACTTTCTTTTTAAAAAACTCAGCAACCCTATAGGATAGGATAGAACTCCCTCTGTGGGTTTCTGAAACTGTAACTTTCTATGGGAATAGAAAGTCATCCTTTCTCCTGTGGAGTGGCTGGTGTTTTTGAACTGCCAACCTTGAGGTTAGCAGCCCAACGCATAACCATTATTCCACTGGGGCTATGGGCCAGAAATATTTTGATAGCAGTGAGTTGATTAAAAAAAAAAAAAAAGAAAAAATGACGAGGCACTTTAGACGATGAGGCGCCGGTCAGTATGTCTATGTAAATGTATACATAGTTTCCACTTCATTGGGATATGAGATTAGTGTGGCAGATCTCATATATGCCTGTTGTTTTTGTTGTCGGGTGCCAAGTTGGTTTCTGACTCACAGCAACCTCATGTGCCTCATAGGGTTTTCTAGGCCTTAATCTTTATGGGAGCAAGTTGCCAGGCCTTTCCATAATATCTGCTTGACAACATCTGTCTATCTTTCTGTCTGCCTGTCATGGCAGTGTGAAAATGGTACAGAGGCCCTCTCAGACCTCGTCTGGCTTCCCACGAGGCCGGAGTCAGACGTGACTCCAGCCTCCATCCTTCGGACATTGGCCATTCCTCCCATGGCACTCTTCCTCTGCGCTGGCTTTGAGAATTTGTTGCGTTGGCCACGCAGAACTCATAGTCAAGACACACAATTAAGATTGCTTATTAGGGTAATTAGTAGGTTCCAAGTCAGGGCCGATAAACAGTAAGTACTGTATATTGTCACTAGCCTCCAGCAACCGCTCTCCATATTCACCAGCCCCTATCTCACCAGCTCTCAGCCTTTCAGCCATATGATCCCTTGGCCTTTGCTCTGGTGGGCCAGGGAGCCAACCTGCTGCTGTGCTTCCATCTATAGTTTCTGTGCCCCTGATTTGCTCTGTCTCCATGGTCTCCGTGCCCCTTTGGTCTATCCCAGGGTCTTTGCGCTGCAGTCTCTGGTGCCTCTGGCCTCACCCTACACCACTTCAAACAGAGTTCCCTCTTGTAAAATTCCTGCAATTTCTTTCTGCTTTGAGATGGTTCTGAGACACAGAGGAATGGCTTGAGGTATGGATTTGTCTTTCAGCCCCCAAGGAAAACTTAAGTCACACTCTTTAGGAAGGTTACCTTAATCTTGTAACAGAGAACTCTCTTCAAAATAGAATTATAACCATAGGCAAAGAGTCCAGAATTTGTAATTGATCACATAAGGACTTATGGCTAGAAGGGTCATATTAATTGACTGTGTCTCAGTAGTGTCTGAGTATGTCACATGCTAACATGCATCCTTCTTTATGTAGAAACGCTTAGAGAAAGCCATCTCTACTTGTGCAGGAATCCCCCACCCCCACGGGGCGGGGTAGGAGTAAACAAAGGAGCCAAAACAAACTTTTGCATAATTACACAGCGAAAGTATAATACTACTGGGTTCTTTTATGGCTAGAATTGTTCTTATTCTATCTTGTATGTTTTTTAACTAAAAAACTTATATTAGAAGAAAGGACAGAATGAGTTAGGCTGTTTGAGACTGATACCTTGCATAGGAAAATTAAATGGCTTTTAAACATTTCTTAGTAATGACTTAATTTTAATCAAACAGAGTGAATTGTCTGCTAGAGTCCAAACTCATTGCCATTGAGAGTCAGTTCTGACTCACAGTCATCCCTCAGGACAGAATAGAATGACCCTCTCAGTTTCCTGGGTTTTCTAGACTGTAAACTTTTCAGGACCAGTTTACCTGGCTTTTCTCCCCTGGAACTGCTGGTGAACTTGAGCCATAGACCTGTCAGTTGACAGCTGAGCACTGTGTCACCGGGGCGTCTCTGTGTGCTATGGACAACAAGGTTAATATTATCTCTTTTCTTTTTTCTTCTTCTCTTTTCTTTCTCTAAAACAATGCAGGCATTTCAGTCGAACCATGGAAGAACTGGTTCATGATCTTGTCTCCGCCCTGGAGGAGAGCTCCGAGCAAGCTCGGGGTGGATTTGCTGAAACTGGAGACCATTCTCGAAGTATATCCTGCCCTCTGAAACGGCAAGCAAGGAAAAGGAGAGGGCGAAAACGGAGGTCCTATAACGTTCATCACCCATGGGACACTGGTCACTGCTTAAGTGAAGGTTCCGATTCTAGTTTAGAAGAGCCAAGCAAGGACTATAGAGAGAATCACAATAGTAATAAAAAAGATCACAGTGACTCCGATGACCAAATGTTGGTTGCAAAGCGCAGGCCGTCGTCAAACTTAAATAATAACATTCGGGGGAAAAGACCGTTATGGCACGAGTCTGACCTTGCTGTGGACAACCTCGGGAACAGGACGCTGCGCAGGAGGAGGAAGGTCAAACGCATGGCGGTGGATCTGCCGCAGGGGATCTCTAACAAACGGACAATGACCCAGCCACCCGAAGGCTGTAGAGACCAGGACATGGATAACGATAGGGCTTTCCAGTATCAAGAGTTTACCAAGAACAAAATCAAAAAAAGGAGATTGAAAATAATTAGACAAGGGCCAAAGATCCAAGATGAAGGAGTCGTTTTAGACAGTGAGGACATAAGCCAGCCCAATGAGGACAAAATGGAATATGAAGAGCAGAAAGTCTCAGATGAGCTGATGAGTGAAAGGTGACCTTTTTTATTCTCGACATGTAAGAATCTTGTCAGCAACGGTGATTGAATGCGTTTTGTATTGGTAGTTCTATTTTAGAATAATGAATGGTCATAATGATAGTGATATTGCTATTTAATGGTCATATACCTTTGTACTTTATGATGTTTGGCACAAAAAATTGCTTATGTGACTTACTGTCTTATGGTTGTGTTGCAGTACTTTGTTTTTCAGCTACAAAAGAAATGGGGGTGGATTTTCCATAGAAAAGAAGAATTAGCTCTTGAATACAGCATGTTTGTAGCCTAGAGCGCTGGATACATATTTATTTCTTTGGTTACAGGGCTTTAATTTTTGGTCCTTTTTAGAGCGTCAAGATGGACCAGCTTGTGACCTTCACTACTTGTAAGTGTGGCCTGGCTGTTTTAAAAAGCCTTCTTCGGCTTACCAGGAATTCTGATGCTCACTTGAGTCTTATAAAACTCACCTAACAGTCTAGAAGCGCCTGGTCAAGTCATTTGAAAATGGGAGCGCAATGGCCCTTTTTCCGTTAGTCTAAGGCGGTCCATTCTGGAAAACAGATATACTACAGTGATAAGTCTTTAGTACTATTTTAACAACATCAAAATGTGAATGATCATTTTTCTCCAAAAAGGTAGTCAAGCTTGCTACCTGTAGAACATGAGAAGGCATTGCCACGGTTCATCCTTTTTGGAGCATGTCCTTAAAACCAAGGGAAGAAAACAAGACAAAACCAAAAAAACCCCAAACCCCAAGAAGGGACAGGAACCATACACACTACACCCTGCAAATAGTTGGTGAAAAAAAAAAAGATTCTTAATTTATAGGGTTTGGATCATTTCAATCATGTAACATTGGGAACTACGGATCTATTTTTTTTTCCTTCTTTTTGGCTTATAATATGATTGCAGAAATGAGTAGAATCTGGTAAGTTTATAGAAACATCCTTTTCTGAGAGATGGTTTGTTGCATATGTTTTCCTCATAAAGTAAGGATCACTTGAAGTGGGAAAAAAAAGACTTCTAGAATCCTTTGAAAAGTTACAGTATCTGCCTTTCTGCAAAGAAAGGTGCCATGAGAATTCATTTTATGCCACAGTTGGACCATTTTGACTGAGGACCTATCGCTTGACTTGAAACAATTATCTTGCGCTGTTACGGAGGTATTTCTGGATTGATTGTCCAAGCCCCTCCTTTTTCTGATGTCTGCCTCTGTTGATCTGCTTCTTAGGACATCTCCCTTGGAAGGAAATGAGGTGAAACTCTCATCATTCATTTCTTTTCGTTATAAAAAATGTTTGCATATGCCCTAGGTATAACCAGGCCACCTTAAAGCAAACAACATAGGTACAAGTTTCCTAAGAGGATGTTTTTATTCTTGAACACAGTTTTAAAAATACTTTCACTAATTCCAAATTTACCTATTTTGGGGTTTACAATATAAATTTGGCCTTTGTCTTTGGTTTCTAAGAAATCATATCTAAAGTTTTGGGGCTACAAATCACACCTAAGGAGTTATGCTAATGAGGTGACTCTTGGATGAGGCTAACCTTGAAGGAATGGCTCACGCTTGTTTTCAGCCCAAGCCCAGAGGAATAGGGCTGATGCAGTTCGTTATATGGATATGATGAGGCTTTGGACAGGGGAGCTCTCTGGGCTTCCTGATTGGTGGAAGACATTGAGACATGTAACTCTTTAGAATGTGGGAAATAAGTCATGGGAATCTACCCAGTCTTTACCCTATACACCTCTTCATTTGTATCCTTTGTGCTGTAATAAAACTGATCATAGGAGTAGTGTTATTTTGGTGTGATTTCAGTTTAGTGAATATGGAATCCAAGAAACTAGTGGTAGGCTGGCCAGAGTGAAGGGCAGCCCTGGGGACCCCTGAGCTTATGGTCAGCATCCTGGGGAGGTGGTGGGAAAACCCCAAATTTATCGTCTGCAAGACAATAATGAGAGGTATCCTGGGGGAACCCCCAGACTTGCAGCAGCTGACATCTGAAGTCTCAGATGAATTTAGCAATCTGGAGAACTGTGCCCCTTTAACTTGAGAGCTGATTTAGCCTGGATGGGAAGGATCCGGGGAAGAAGTACTGCATGCACGGTTGAATTGCTTTTGATCCTTACATTTGGTACCAGAGAAATGGGATTTGATTTCCCACACTCTTATTTAACTATCTTGTACCATAACAAGTTTCACACATTTTTTTTAAGATTTCTAAACATAAGGCATTCTTTCCACCACCACCCCCACACACACACACCAAGTATAGGTGATTTTCGAGATTATCATCAAAGCTTTCCTAATATAAACAAGCTGTACTTTCTCTTGGAACTGACTTCAACAGGTTGCATTTAATTGTGTGTGTGTTTTAATAAACATTTAAGTGATAACTATTTACTATCCACTAGTAGTACTGAAACTACTAAGACAGACCCTGTCACCAGTGAGTTCATGGTCTAGAATCGCCAGGCAAGCCAGTGATGAAAATACAATGTACTGGGTGGAAGGGACAGAGGAGTGAAGGCTTTTCAAGCGACTTTTCAGATCAGGGAGGAAAAGGGAGAAGGCATTCCTAGGTAGAAGAAACTTCTGCCTTATGCAAGAGCAAGGATTGTAAGTAAATGTGGTATGTTGGGGAATGTATATATAGTTAAGGAATCCTGGTAGCACAGGGGTTAAAGAATTGACTGTTAACCTAAAGGTCACTGGTTCAAAGCCCCCAGCTACTCTTGAGGAGAAAGATGTGGTGATCTGCTTTCATAAAGATTATGGCCATGGAAACCCTAAGGGGCAGTTCTGCTCTATCCTATAAGGTCTCTAATAGCTGGACTCCACTTGAGAGTAGTTGGTATGGATATATAATTCATTATTACTTGAGTATAAAGTGGGAGTCAATATTTCTTGAGGACCCGTGTGCCATGGTAAATGGTTTGAGTTTCGTCTTGTAGGTGATGAGAAGCCTGTGAAGAAGTTCAACAGTTAAGAAAACAGGTCTTCTAACCAGTTCATTTAATTTGCATTTAAAGTCTCAGCAGGGGGGCGAGGAGAGGGTAGTTCAACCCAGAACAAACTGGTTGGAAACCTTGTAGGAAGCCTAATTAGATTTAAATTTTCTCAAGTTCACGGACTTTTGGCAGCAGAGGTTAGATTTCGCCTTCAGCGCCTTCTTAGATGGGACATGAATTATGACTGTGATATAGAGAAGAAGTATTTGAGAGCAGTATGAAAAAGTTATAGTCAATTTGCCCAGAAGCTAAAATTAGAAAGGCAGGACCCGTTGACCATAACCCACTAGCAGCGAGTTGATTCCCACTCACAGCGACCTTACAGATCAGAGCAAAACTGCCATTTTGGGCTTCCTAGGCTGTAAATGGTTATGGGAGCAGAAAACCTCATCTTTCTCCCTCAAAGGGGGTTGTGGATTCGAACTGCTGAATTTGAGGTTAGTACCATAGTGTGTAATCCACTATACCACCAGAACTCTTTGAGAAAGCAGGACTCACTCACTGCCATCAAGTCAATACTGACACATAGATGACCCTACGAGGCAGTGTGAGCAGGACAGGAAGGGGTAGAAAATTAGGCTGAAAGGGAAGGAGCAGGCAGAAATGGGAGGATGCTGGCAGGTTGCTAGAAACGACTGATGTAATGGAACACTTTATGCATAGGCACAATACAATAAATAACTACAATAAAGCTAATATCAAAATAATGAGTCAAGGATATTTTTGTTTCCTCATGCATGTGGAAGTTATGTTTATACTGTGTATTAAGTATGCAATCGCATTATGAAAACGTTTGAATTACTGAAATGTGTCATACAGACAGGAAATGAGCACCAGTTGGTAAATAGAAGCCAATAGACTTGCTCAACTCAGACTTGCCACAAACCTCCAGTTTGTAAAAAATGCACTGTCTGCGAAGCACAGTGAGGCAAACACAATCAAACAAAGCCTGCCTGTGTGCATTGTGGAATAGGAAACTCCGTTACAGTCAGAAAGGTGTTGACTGTATTTTGGAGGATGAATAAGAAAGACGCTCAGGCGGTGCTTAGGTTTCAAGTATAGATCATATACAGGAAAGGGAGAGATTAGGGCGAGGGCCTGGGATTTGTGTACATGCATTTATTCTGCAAACATTCGTGCAATCTCTTCACATCTGAGTGAGTGCTGTGCTTAAAAGTCATACCAAAAGAAGTGGGGAACTGTGACCCGGGGTTGGTTAGTCTTATGACCGTCGGCGGCTGAGAATGGGACACTTGCATGTTTTTAAGTTCTTGCTCTGATTTATTGGTCCCAGTAACCATTCATGATGTGCATGCACCAACTAGTGAAATGCCAATGTCAATCATGTCAGTGTAAGTAAGCAAAGCTGTTGTTTACATACATGTAAACATGCCTATAAGTAAGATGAGGATCATTAAGAACTGGGAGCTTTTTTCAGAAAGGGAATTGTGATTTCCTTCTCTCTGTAAGAAGAGTGAAGTCAGCAGTTCAAAACCACCAGCCACTCTGGGAGAAAGATGAGGATTTCTACTCCTGTAAAGATTTAGAGCAGTGATTCTCAACCTTTCTAATGCCGCGACCCTTTCATACAATGCCTCATATTGTGGTGATCCCCAGCCATAAAATTATTTTTGTTGCTACTTCATAACTGTAATTTTGCTACTGTTAGGAATCGGGTGACCCTTGTGAAGGGTTGTTTGACCCCCAAAGGAGTCACGACCCCCAGGTTAAGAACCATTGATTTAGAGTCTTAGAAGCCCACCGTGGCAGTTTTACTCTGTCCTATAGGGTCACCATGAGGAAGAATTGACTCAAAGGCAGTAAGTTGGGGTTTTTTGCTGATAAGAGTGTGGCCATTGGGAGAGAGAGGGAGAAAAGAAACACATTGTGAGAGAAAAACCATGAAGAGATGACTGGAGGGATGGGAAGAATTTAGGTGGGTGCTGTCCCATAGATGGCCTTGAAATGCAAACAAGATGGGGTAATATTTTAAAAATTTTAAATAGAAGAATGCTTTCCTATACTTCCCCGCGCCTATACACACATTTTTAAAAAACCCAATCCATTTAGAGTAGTTATTTTTACGTTCACAGAAAAGCTACTTGGATAGTAGGGTGGAACGTTCTTGTATGCCCTTTATACCTTGTGTCAACCTGTTAACATCTTACACTACTGTGGACATTTGTCCCAACTAAGGAGTCCTTATGGATATATTATTATGAACCCCAGAATTTTATTGGATTTCCTTAAAGTTTTTTCTTACTACCTTTTTTGGTTTGTTTTTAAGTGAGCCAGTTTGCCAGCTTCTCTTTCTTAATTGAAAATTATTTTAATTAAAAAGAATCACATAGAGCGATTTCCTGATTGGTTAAAATGAAATATTACAGTAAGAAGAACATACATGAAAGAATCCAATTTTCATTGTAGAGGCCAAGCTTCTTAGTATATTACTGGTTGTCAAGATATTTTAATTATTTAAAACTATGTAAATCATGATTCATTATTATTATTACTAATAGTGACAATTTGTTCTGATCAGCCAAATAGTTGCTATTTTCATGTTTCTGTTTGACGGCCTCTCTTGAGAACTTGTATGGAAGTATTCTTTCTGTACCCCTGTCTTAATATTGATCACAGTCATGTTTTTTTCAGATCCACTAGAACTTTGATTGCATGGTTTGCCATTACTGTAAACTTCTTGCCAAATAATCTGTAAAGTTGTTGTGAATGATGTCTTCTCCAGAATATTTGCAAATGTGTTTGTGAAACACCAGGCGCTCGTCCTCAGGCCCTTATTTCACGTGCTGGAGAAAGGCTTCGCGGGCTTTTGCTGGAGACTTTTCACATTTTATTTAGCAGTGGTCTTCTGGGCTCTCTCCGAATTGCATGGCACGAGAAAGGAGCAGTGAGCATTTGATGAGAGCGGGTCATAAAACGCGTCAATTGTGTCAGCACCTCCTTGGCAGTCACATCTGGTTTGCTGTCAGGGTCCCATTAGATTCCTGTGGTTTTATGTGCCAAAAATAATATGCTCTGTAGTTAATGGAACCGGGATATTTGCAGTTTGATTAAAAAAAAAATCATCTTATTTTCTTTCAGATCTTTGCCAGGCTTAAGTTCCATCTCTGAGCCGCCATGTCTCTTTAAAATTTTACGACTGAGAGATCAATTGTTCTTTTGATCTGTTCCTTTCTTTTTCTTTATTGCAGTGACTCCAGCAGTCTCAGCAGCACTGATGCTGGTTTGTTTACCAATGATGAGGGAAGACAAGGTACTGAAAGGCTCTGTGTTCTCTCTCTGGGAAAACGTCTTCATTTCTAAGTTGTGTTTATTAATGGCTTTTTCTGAAGTTGATGACTTGTGCACCCTTTTTAATGCACTGGCGATAGCTGCTGTAGCTGGTTTTTGCCATGGCTGTGGGCTAAAGCAATGGAACCATTTGATTGTTTCCAGGAGCTCGTCTGTGGAGCTAATAATATTAAGGAAGGATTATCTCTTTCCTTGAGAAAGCTTTCCATACCTCATTCTTTTCAATTTGGTCCCTGTTAGCAAGCTCGAAAGACACTGGTTCTCATTCTCCACCTGATTCCAAATGTATTTAAAACTGTTTAAGCATTAATAAAGGTAGATTTGCAAGTCATTTGTCAGTTTTATTCAGCTGTGACATTTGTTCATCCTCTCTAGTTTTCAAGTAATTAATGATTTTCAAGAATTCTGTATTATAACCTATTAAGGTGAAATGTCTTACCACTTAGATGTTTTCAGTGTTTGAAATTTCCTGAAGTTTTTCACACTCACACGGTCGTATTTTTGTTATGGAAGAAAATAATGACAACCTTAGGAGGTTTTCAGGAACTCTGGTGAGGTAGTGGGGTACGTGTTGGGCTACTAACCTGGATGTTTTCAGTTCGAAACCACCAGCTGCTCCTAGGGAGAAAGACCAGGCTTTCTACTCCCACAAAGAGTTACTGTCTTGGAAACCCACAGAACAGTTCTACCCTGCCCTTTAACATCCCCAAGAGTCAGATTGATGGCAGTGAGCAGGCAGTGCGCAGGCATTTACCACAAATGTCATCTTCTGTTGAGCTACTGTACAGGAAGGCCACAAGTTCTTTTTTTTTTCTTTTTCTTTTTTTGTGAGAGTGAGTGAGTGAGTCAGTGAATGAGAGTGAGTGAGTCAGTGAGTGAGTCAGTGAGTCAGTGAATGAGAGTGAGTGAGTGAGTGAGTGAGTGAGTGAATGACAGTGAGTGAATTAGAGAGTGAGTGAGTGAGAGTATGTGAGTGAGTGAGAGAGTGAGTGAATGACAGTGAGTGAATTAGAGAGTGAGT